AATAGTTGTTGAAAGTAAAAAAAAACTAAATGTCATGTTTCGAACCAGAGATATTTAATAAAATAGGAAAGCAGAAGTTTACCAGGAAGCATGAAAGTGGAAATAAAATCTAGATGGAAGTAATTTTTGTTCAACAAATAGAACGGAAAGGATTTAAAGACAATGCTAAGAAATTCCAAACATTATTTTTGCACTGGAAAATACAGATATCAAACAACAAACGTCTCCTTTAAGGGATTAAATGGGATGGAAAATTATAATAATAATAATAATCCTTGCATTTGATATAGCGCTTTTCACGTCGGGAGGATGTCCCAAAGCGCTTCACAGAATATACTGTAAAGTGAATTGACTGTATATTTGTGGGCGAAACGCGGCAGCCAATTGCACACAGCAATGTCCCACAAACAGTCATGGATTGAAAATGACCAATTTATTATTGTTTGGGTTTTGGAGGGATTATTATTAGGCCTGTGGAGTAAGGAAACTTGCCCAAGGTTTCGCCCTGCCTGGAATTATGATGAAAAGTAAGGAACTTTCACAGAATTAATTTGTTTCATTAGAGAAACAATTGTAGGAGGTGGGGAATAATCCAAATCTTTAAATTGCTGTAAGGCATTAATTTACATGGAGTCTTATTTGTGATATTGCTTAGTGGAATTCTTAAAAAGTAATCCATTCCACAAATTAGGTATTTTTCTAATAATTGGACATACATCATGTGACTCATGAGAATACTATTCTGGCATGATTCACATCTCGAGAAGAGTTCCCACGAATTGCTGGAAATTTTAACGGGATTCTAAGGAATCCTAGTTGGACAGCTCATTTAAAAAATGATGGGCACATTCAACATAAATTAGACCCCAATATTATGGATAAAACTACAAATAAGCAAAACCAGAGATTCCACTTTCAAAAAATAACACAGTACCACCACAAGGTATTGATATCTACAGCTTATTTTTACATCGTGCCTTTCACTAGATCTAAAGAAGTCTCAATTCGCTTTGCAGAGATAAATTTACGAATTCACCAAATGTTATATAGGTAAATGTAGCTAATCTTTGCCAGGAACGTCCCACAGAGAATGATAGGGGCATGTATTTGATTTTAGTCTGGGACAAATTTGGATGAAGAGGAAATGTAAAGCAGGTTAACAGGTAGAAAAACTCTTTGATATTCCAGCCAGGGTGAGGGGGTGGAGAATCAGAGAATTTATGTCCCTTAATGTCTCTCTGAATCACAAGGCAGAGTACAATCAAAAGAAAGATCTTAAAATAACTAGATTTAAAATAGGATGTCATGCCAAGAATCCGAACGGCAAAGGACATTACTGCATGGAAACAGGCCATTTGGCCCAGGAAGTCCATACCGGTGCTAAGACTCCACATTAAGCCTCAAGGTTTCCTAATCCCCTTTCCTAAACATTGCAGCCTATCTACATTCCTGCAAACAATGAATTGATTTGCTTAAATTACTTTCACTAATTTCAAAAAATGAGCCAAGGATTGACAGTGGATAACACAGTGGATAATGCCATCAAGAAGTTTATCACAAGAACGGTCAAAACAAGCAAAAACACTCACTGACAGCTGAAACCTGAAGGAGATACTAGTGAGATTGTCAGAATGCTTGGAAACAAGAACAATTCCCAGAAGGATCGATAAAACTCCTACTGGTCTCAAAACGCAGGTAGACACACAAAAAAACTGCAGGAACCATCAATATTCTTTCTATTAAAATCTGGGAAGACCATGATACCAAGTTCAAGATACAAAAGGAAGCACATGGTTATACTTATTTTTGGAACAGTTCATGATCACTGTTTTTTTCCATTTAGAGCACTGATGTCTACTTTGACTTGTGATATGACTATTCTAGATGATACTGACATGACAACAATAGTACTTAATTTTTTTTAAAATTTGTATTTATATCAATGTAAGTGCCTACATTAAATGCTACATTTCCCATAATCATGATCTTTCAATACTGGAAATAATTTATTTACATAATCTTACATCTTCATAACCGAGTGAACAATATCTACAATGTCTTGGACTGACTAACAAAGCTCTGTATTTGTTAGTCATTGGCTTTGCTGCTTATATGTTATTACAAGTAACTTTATTTTTGTTTATTTCACTACTAATGCACAATACTGTTGTGGTTGCAGTCATACACAAAAGAAAAAGCAAAGGAAAATGTTATATACCCAGTACCTTGACAACCCCAGTCAAGACAGTGAATATCTCACCAACCAGGAAACTTTGGAGGAGCTGATGCTCTAGGAAATCTGGTCAAAGTATCATATGAAGGAGTGCTATCAACGTGAAAAAACCCCAAATCAATAATGCAAAAGACAACATTTACTGTATCAGATAGAGACAGCAACAATGTAATAAATTGGAAACAGACATTTTCAAATGCAACGTGCATTTTAAAATAAAAATCATGCTTTTGTTACTGAAAATTCTCACAAACAAGATAGTCATGAAAACAATGATATTGTGTTGTATATTAAATAAGAGACCAACATAACAACTTTGTTTTTTAAAGTTTGCAGTGAAGGAAGTTATCCCGAGGAATAATAAATATTTAAAGCTACAAAAACAAGCCTAGATTTGATACAATATTTATTTTCCTCTGAACAGTATTTAAAAATGTTAATAAGCCACATAGATAGGATTTAAAGCACCGATTCTCATGAAAATAACCCTAGCATGCAGTTATTCGTGAAAAATAATTTGAGCATACCCTGCAGCTTAGAATCTTTTACTAAGTTAAATAAACTCATTGTCTATTCAAATCATACACATACTTTCTCTCTTTACACATTGGGGTGGTATGATTTATTGAACAATGATTTAATTTTACAGTCACAAGTGAATAATCTACACCAAGACTATTAGACACTGAAATTAATTTTGACTTGTGGAATTTCTCAAATACTGTGCACAGATTTAACTACTTAAATATTGTACAAATTAAATTATTTTAGGTTAAATCATGCCGTGCCATATTATGAATTAGTATTAGTTCAATCACGATCAGTTTACAATTATGTACATACATGCACCCAGCCAAGACATGCCAATTAGTTTTATAAAAGCATGCAATAATCAGGGGTCTTGCCTCTCTTAGTTTGGAAAGGGAAGGACTTTCACTTTGGTGCATTTCATGTAATCAGAGGCACAATCAACACCCGAAAAGAAATAAACATGCATAGATTCACTGGCTTTGAGACTATACAGACTATTTTACCTCATCAACACTGGACTGTGAATACCAAGTGAATGCTCATTATGATAACCATTACTACCATTTTCCAAACTGCAACAAAAGGATCACACAACATAAAGAAAAAAATAAACTTGTGAATGCAAAACTTCTCTTAAAAAAAATGTAGGAAGCTAAACGAAAAATAAAATATCTAAGTTGCAACAGATATTTTACAACCAACAATGCTAAACAAACAAAAAAAACTCTCCCTCCCAATTCTAGTTCTGCAGGAATACTGAAGTCTGCAAAAAAATCATGAAGCTATTAAATGAAAATTTTAACAATCATTTAGAGAACATTTTTATATAATATAGAAGCAACTGTATTCAGCTTGATTTAAATACTGCAAAATTGTAAAATCAAAGCATCTGTGGAAATTAATAAAGTGTCTCTGAGTGCATTTGGAAATACTTTTGTTTTACTCCTCTTTCCCTGAAGTTTGTGCTCTTTAGGTGTTGTACAGTAAGTGGAGTTAAAAATTATTCTGCTTATATACACAGCACTAAATGTATTCCCAGTTTTACACACTTTAAACACTACAAATTTAATTAAAGGCTATACAGTCTTGTTAGCAATACTCAAGCTACAAACTGTAACCTTAGATTTACAACCTTAACCCCAAGATGCACCAGTATGAAAAGAAATCTTACTTTTTCATGTGAATATTCTCAACACTACAGAAATACAAAAATGGAAATATTGTTAATATTTAATTAAGTAAAGTAGCACTCTTATTTTTGCTGATCACACCAATGTGCAAATTTTACATGACGTTGAGTTCACTGACATTAAGCCCACATAGTTTAATATTCAATGCAGAAATGCAAAATTTATTTAAAAAGGATATCTTGCATGCTGTCTATGGTACAATAAATAAACAAATATTGTGATAAAAGTTTTCAAAGTGCAATGTGCATGAGATTTTGCAGTCAAGAGTGGCAATGATATTCAAAAAAGCAACAGAAATGAGTGAAAACTGGAAAGGGTATCAATAGTTATCACAAAGTAAAATGCCAAGTCCCTGAGACAGAAGAACTGTAGGAGAGAAAAGGAATATATAGGATTTAGAGGCTAGCAACAGTCAATAATCAATCAAGGACGCAAACAAGGGGTGTACATCAATTACAAAGAGGTAAGATTTGGAACCAAAGGAAAGAGGGAGAAGCCAAAACAAATTAACATTGCAGTTGAAGAAAAGTACATCAAGATATTTAGCAAGAACATTTGATTTTGTTCATTACAAGGAAAGAAAATAAACTTCCCAAACCAAAGGAAAAGCTGAATCAATGAGATTTTTTATTACCAGCTGTCCCCTGGACAAGTACAATTATTGACCCACATTAATCAAACTCTGACTCCAACATAGAAAGTAATCAAGACTATTATCGAAGCTGGTTGTTCAATTGTAACCTGACTTATTCTATATATTGTACATCTGATATCTTCTCAGCCACAGACAACACTGGTAAATCTACATTCCAAAAAAGGGAGATTTTCCCCTTGTGCAAGGGACAGCTGTAGTTATTAGACCTCAGCCGTTAGCTCATCTACAGACCTAAACGCAGAATTAGATGCTAGATAAGCAGCATTAGCTAGTGCTTTTTAAAATGTTAATTTACCAATAGGAGTAAGTTTGCTGTGTTTCATGAATATATTTATTGACAGCAGAAATATGTGGAATAGTGGACGCATTGTATAAAGTACAGTCTACTCACTCATCATACACATCTTCTGTATCCATCCGTCGATAGAACTTTGCTAGTTTCACAGCAAGAATAATACTTGGAATCAAAAAGATTGAGCAACATCCGAGACCAAACCAGAAACCATTCTGAGGGAAAAAATACAAAATAAAACGAATTATCTACATAGCCACAATAATTAAAAGTATAAACATTTTGTTCAAAATCATTTGTGCTGTGAGTGGGTGTAAGAAAACCTTACCAAAGAATCCACCACAAAGCCACACAATACGATGTCAAGCGTATCCACCACATTTGCGATTGGCTTGCAGTCTGCAACCTCATTGTTGATCTGTAGAATTAAAAAAACAATAGTTATCTCTCCTGAGGGAACATCAAAACACAAAATACCACTTCTTCCCAAAGAAATTTCTTGACCACAGACTTTAAAGTGGACAGTATAACTCACACCTATGGAAGAAAATACAGTACCTTATAAAACTACTCTTTTTATCAATTTTAAAAGTGTCCTCACTAGTGATATATAAAGTTAGAATCCTTGAACATACATTCTCAAGATGCAACAGAGTTGGATTACCTTTGCTGTTAACAGCTTCACATTGACTGGAAGCCATCAGTGAATGATCAACAATATACTCCACAAAAAAAAATGCAACTAAACTATAGTAACACAACATAAGTAACTAACTTACAGAATTCATACCGAGAGACAAATAATTAACTCAAAGTAACATCAAAAGAAATTAAGCAAAATATTGGGGAATTTGGCTACATTTCTCAAAACATAACACAGCAACATTTACACTTCATTGAAAGCATAACACCGTAAAACTCACAACATCTTTGCTCCATTCTACATATTCTTGGAAGTAGCCCATTATTCTCATCAAGTATTGCTGAGCTTCCTGTGCAGAAAAATTACATGATTTAGAAAACATCCACAGTAGCTGAACTTTGTTGTTTGCATACCATTCAGCATATTTTATGTACTAGATGTTATGTTCTAGTATAGAGGTAAGAAACTTACCTGTGCTACAATGCTTGTGCCATTGTTGTTAATTAGGCTCTGAGCAGCTTCAAGAGAATCAACTACATTTCCCACTTTTACCTAGATAAAAAAGGGAAAGATACGGAAATCTGTACAATTAACTGCAATATTCACATTGGTACAACTTGTATTGTACTTCTCGCCAATAATTTAATCGAAGTAAAACCATTTCTAGAATATTTTAAGGCAATGGTAGTCAACCCACTGTCATTAGGCCTTAGAAAATAGCAATATGCATTGATTCAACAACAACAATTTGGATTTATATAGCGCTCTCCACCCCGGACGGCGTCTCAGAGCGCTTTACAGTAACCGATCCCGGGACAGAGCCAGAATGGAAAGGGGGGAGTGAGACGAAGGGAGTGAGGAAGGCAGTTCCAGAGCCTCGGGGCATAGTGGCTGAAGGCACGGCCACCGAGGGTGGAGCGGAGGACTCAGGGGACAAGGAGGAGGCCAGACCCGGAGGAATGAAGGCAACGGGTATTGTTTTAAGGAGAGAGGTCAAAGAAGTAGGGGGATGCAGAGGAGTGCAGGGACTTGAATACAAGGGTGAGGATCTTGAAATCGATCCTCTCTGGGATAGGCAGCAGTGCAGTCTGGCAAGGACTGGGGTAATTGGGGAGCGGAATTTGGTGCGGGTGAGAATGCGGGCGGCAGAGTTTTGGCGATTCGGTGGGAAGTGGGGGGAAGCTACAGAGAGCGCAATACTACTGGGTTCCTATCATATACCTCCAAATGTCCACAATTTGTTTTGGTCAGCTGGGTATCTGACACATGTGGAACCCCATCACAATGCTTAAGAGTATCCAACCTACAGTTGCATGCTTCCCACTTACATAGCGAATTTCTTGTGTATTGGATGGAACGATGAGCACTCTCTCCCTGGAGGGAAGCATTCCACTTACCCAATTCGGGAGAGTATTAGGCGAAGGCTGGCAAGAGCCCAGAGGGACCATAGAGTATGCAGTGAGGTATTGCTTGAGCACTCCAGAGTGTGTGTGTGCTGGAGTCTAACCAGCTAAAAACCCATAGTTTGCCTTTGAGAGCACTGTCAAGCACTGTCTGTCAAACTTCTCCGCTGCTTGTCCAGCACAGGCCCACCCTATCCGTTCGGGCTTGCAGAGTGAGCACTCAAAGAGAAATGCAAGAGGGTAATGGATTTTCAAAATAAGGAGTATAATGAACTTGTAAGAAGCAGTGAAGAATGCATCAAAACAATATATTATACAAATCATTTACCGACAAATCAGATGCTGTAGTCTGTAGCCTTTCAATGTTCTGAATCATTAATGTCTGTTAAAATAAAAAAAAACTTCATTCAGAAAGCTGAAAGGCAATTGCAGAAGATTGCACCTTTCTCCCTGCTAAAACCAAACAATGTAAATGTCAAATTAATATTTAAAGCTAGACTTAACGGTTCAAAATTTTCTAATACTATGTGTCTATGTGTGAATTGTGAATGGAAAGTATTAATGAGACAGTGAGTGTTCCCATCTGGCTATGTCACCAGTATGTGTTCCTGTGATATCCTTTATGGAACTTCATCTTTTTAGCCACTTTGGAATCGAAGAACATAGTGTATAAACCAGCATGGCCTTGTCTGAAGAGAGAAATAATTTTCAACATCCTTTCAGCAATTAGCTAAATAAAGTCACTGGCAGCAACACTATTCTAAGCCTATCATTTCAACATGAAATAAAATGAAATATAGGGGAGTGGATAGGAGTTTGCACTACCAATCAGATCACTAAAATTAAATGTATGATAATCTTAATTTACAGTCTGGCTTTCTAAAGGAGATATGTTTATTACTGGACGATGGGCCATCTGGAGGCTGAATGAAAGAGATAACTGAAATGGGTGGCCGCAATGAGTCTAAGGGCTTCCCGCTCCTTTTCCTTTCCCAGCTTCAAGGAAACCAAGAGTGGGGAACTAACATGAGAAATATTACAAATGTTGTATAAGTATGTATTTATGAGTACGTATTAAACTATTAGGTAAACTAAACTAGTACGTATTAAAGGAAATTGGAGGAAAAAATTGAACACGTTATTCCATATAATCGAATCTAAGGGTGAATCAATATTAATTTATTATTTATTAATTTATTTAAGATGTCAAGTAATCAAATAGATCAACAGCAGTGTACACTGTTCAATACAACCATCAAATATTGCAATTACTAATAAAGTATTTTATGATTTCAAATACTCATTTCTATTGAAGGAGCAGTTCTTTTCAAAAAATTGCAAGGAAACCAATCATAGAAACTAAGTTTTAATATTAAATCCAAATTTAAAACAGACATCAAAGGTGGCTGTAACGTGGAGTAATTATACTTTGCTGAAACTCACTACAACTATTTTCCCTCATTTGTCAGATGCTGACATCTGTTATCACTGGAGATCTGTGTGAGGCAAAGTTAAATCAGTCTTGAAACTAAACCCAACTTTCAATAAACCAAAGTATGGATCCATCATGCTCACTGGCAGCACTGCCGCCTATGTTTTCAGCCTCTCTAGTGACCGCTTCTTATAACAAAAAGAATCAGAACTTACCCGTGCTTTGACATATTTCTGGCAGGCATTTAAGAAAGTAGGAAAATAAAGTTAATTTAAATACAGCCTGAGATATCAGATTGATATGCCCAAGATTAAAGCATTTTATGAAATTCAAATGGTTGGAAACAGGAGAAATCGTAGTCACAAGAAGCAGAGAAACACTGTAAATATTTATCCACATGAAAAAATGACTAGATCAACTAGCTGTCTCATCACTTTTGGAGACTTGATGGGAAAAATGTCCACCTTCTGTGATGTGTTACTCTAAGATTCTATGAAATGCTCATTGCATGTTTCTTACCATAGTTTGTTCCAGAGGAATGACTTGGTCATTGTGGATTTTCCGAATATTGTTTGCATGACCTTTAAGCGCATTCTCTAATGCACCTCTAGGCTGAAAAGCATTAAATAAAGTTAGTTATACAGTAGAAGGCTATTTGAAATTAAAGACTCACTTCCTAATTTTTGCAATTTAGCATTGAACGTCATGTAAGGAGGTACCTAATTCTGGGAAGCATTAGGCACATAAACTCTATCCTAGTTTTCAAAATATGTGTCCACTTTGTACCAGGATTTTCTGTAAGTTTGTTTTTTCTTAATTTCTAAAGGTTCAATTCTATTCAACTGCATATCAACAATCATGAATAAGGTACCAGCAATGCTATTAATGGGTTACATTGACATCAAAATGTTTCCAGTAAAGGTTGAATGCGCAGTCACCTTTTCACCCTGAGGTCTTACTTCTTAAAGTTGGATTTTTACCTTCTTTGATATTGCCACCATTTCTTCATCACCGAGTGATGAACAGAACCTCACAGAAAAGCAGCTTTTTTGACGGTGAATAATGAAGCAACTCACCATTGTGTACGTAATAATGAGGATGTTTCTGAGCACCTTTTTGCATTTGAAGCGCAACTGCAGAAGGTTATCTCAGAATTGGCCACTTTTATTTATTTTTTAAAAAATCAGTATTGATATTTTATGCATTAATGCATTGGAGACAAGCTTTTAACATTCTGAAGGGAATCATTTGGGTGGCAAGAAAATAATTATTTCTGCTGAAGCAGGAGATAAGAGTTGCGAATATAAAGCTAAGGACCGTATCATCATTGGCAAGTGAGCTTACAGCCACTTGGTCCCCTCACTCTGGAACTCCCTTCCAAAATCTCTCTGCCTCAGCCCTTTGCTTTCAAATCCTGCCTGAAAACCTACTTTGTTTTCCACTGCAAATTTGGCCACCTTTCCATTCAAGAGTTCTCGATTCAAAGAAAGTTTGGGAGATGTTCTCCAAATGTGAAAGACACTTTTATGCTGTTTGCTACATAACCTTAACAACAACAGAACTCTGGTCTGTGGACTTGAGGGGGAAGTGGGGGTGCAGGGTACCCCCTAAAACTACTCAAATTATCAGGAGTAGTTTTATTACCATTCTATTAGGCCAGAACAAAAAAGCTAAATATTTAAACATTTGAATTACATTTACCCATTTACATTGAGAGTCTGATCCATGCATTTATCACTACCCAGCTCTTCCCTAGACCAGCTGCAGATTATCCAAAAACTCTGCAGCCTGTGACCGTTCGCACACCAGGCTGCACAAAAATATCACCCCAAATCCGAGTTCTGCTCGCCAGTGAAAGCACTGTCTGGCAAACTTCCCACTGCTTGTCCAACTGGGACCATTCTACCCATTAGGACTTTGGCTTGCAGGGTTAACAGGATCTAAGTGGAAGAATCCCTGGCCCCAGTATTCAGTCTGCCCTTCTAAGTGCTTCCGATGAGCCAGACTGGCTGGTTTGTCATTGGCACTGCCCCTCAGTTCAATGGTCCTACCTGGCTCAAGAACTGGACTACTGTAACCACCACACAGGATTGACTCGATTCCAACAATGTATCGCCATCTTGGAGTCAGTTCAGTTCCAAAGAGACTCCACTGGCTCCCTATCCTTCAGAGGGTCCAGTTCAAGATCCTGGTCCTCACCTACAAAGCCCTCCATGGCCTCGTCCCACCCTATCTCTGCGACCTCCTAACCCCCTACCAACCCGCCTGTTCCCTCCGCTCAGCCGGCTCCTGCCTGCTCCAAGTCCCCCGACCCACCCGTGGCGGGAAATCTTTCAACCACTCTGCCCCCAACCTCTGGAATTCCATCCCCCAATCACTCTGCCTCGCCCCCTCCTTAGCTACTTTCAAGTCCAGCCTCAAAATCCTCCTCTTCGACCATGCCATTGGTCACCCCCTCTTCCCCTCCCCTCCCCCTTCCTGACCCCAGCTCGGGTCTGAAATGCTGCACACCTTCCAGCGCCTTAGGACATCCTCCCGACATGAAGGGCGCTTTACAAATGTAATCTTGTTGTTGTTTACATCCCCCTTCAAGGAGGATAGTCACTAGTGGGTCATTTGACATCAGACAAACAACCACAGTTGCGAGTCCTCATGAGGTGGATAGGGGGTACCAGAAACACCTTGCAAGCTTCCCAGTAAGTAGTACAACTTAGCATGAAATGCTTCTCTTTTCTAATAGAAAAGAATGACACAGAATCTTTAATGTCTTTGCGTAAGAGGGAGACAGAACCTCAGTTTAGCATCTCATCTGGAAGATGAAACCGCCAATGCAGGATCCCACCCAATACTGCACCGGTATCAGTCACAATATGATAAAAAGAATTAGCAGCAGATTCATCCTCAAGACGCCATCAAGCATTTTCAAACTGTTGTTTCAAAGTAACAATGATGGTGCTTGGCTGTTGCCTTCTCTTGGGACACTGCCTGGACACAGCATACAGATAAAAATATTGTTCTCAAAATGTAACAAAAAACAAGATAATTCCTTTGTGCAAACCTCTATGACAGCACTAATAAAATGGACAAACTACAAACAAATATGGAGTACACCAGTTCACATGGAACTTTAGCACAAATTAATTTATACTAATGCAAATATTCTAAAGTTAAAAACTCACCAATTTTTCTGCCTTTTCATCCAATTGATTTGCATACGTCAAAAGATCCACTTTTGTTGTTGTTTTGCGTAACTGAAAGAAACAATGATTTGAATGCCTTACAATTGCAAATTATCATGTAATATGAAGTGGGAAGAGTGAGACTAATTATAGCACTCCTATATCTATCCTACAAAAATGTTTTGCCCAAGTTCCATACTGGAGCAACATGCCTGAAAGCTCAGGGCAGACAAAGTGTGAAAAGAACACAAGTGGAGGACAAGAAAGTGGGGGTGGAAGAGATTGGAAAAGTAGTATGAGGCAAGAGAATGAAGGCAAGTAGGGACAAGAGAACGAAGGAAAATGTACTGGGGGACAGAGAGCATATGGGGCAAGGATGGGGGTGATGAAAGCGTGGAACTTGGTAAGGGAAGAGAGATCAGGCTTGGTTGCCCTCTACTGTTACAGTTAAGCAAATACTCACTGCAAAGTATCACACATAAACAATGAAAACATAAAGGAGAATGCCCATGGAATGAAATACATTCAAGAACAAAGCCAAAATGGCAGCCACAAAGTCACTTCCTGTGTTCTGCACTTGCGCTATGCGCAGATAATTTCTGCACATGTACAAGGATTGATAAGCATGAACTTAATGAAGTACTTTACACACTGTTTGTGAAGTTAGGTTACTTTGAAGCTGGCATTTTTATTGGATTGAATCCTTTTATTTGTAATACATGAGCTTCAATAATCCCTCCAAAACAAAACAATAATAAATTGGTCATTTTCAATCCACGACTGTTTGTGGGACACTGCTGTGCGCTTCGTTTCACCCACAAATATACAGTCAATTCTCTTTACAGCATATTCTGTGAAGCGCTTTGAGACGTCTAGAAGACGTGAAAAGCGTGATATCAAATGCAAGGATTATTATTATTAAACATGAAACCAATTTAATCCCAGCAGTGAAAAATCAAGTGGATGCTCAAAGCTCAAAAGGCATTCACATACATTAAAATAAGGTACGTCTGAAGGTCATGACTTTTTTTTAAAAAACTAATTTGCATAAAGTAGATTCACAGATCACATGAAATTAAGTGGGGTTGCAAATAGAAAATTAGGATTTTGATTACACATTATATACCACTCACATTCAAAACAAATGACAGATCTATTTAATGTAGACCTGACATGTTATTTTCTTAAAAAAAGGATGAAATATTACCTCTGCAATATAGGCATCAAACTCAATGCCATCAATGCCAGATTTTTCAAATTTCTGAAGGCTCTTTTTCACTTCCGGGTCAAGAAGTACTATACTACTTAAATCCACATTAATGTTTTTCAAATTGGCTTGTAGCTCAGATGTGTACTGAAAAAGAAAATCACCACAAGAAATATTACATTTATTATGTCAATAAATCAAGTACAGTGATAGTCAACATACACATTCTAAAGTTTGTACAATTAAAAGCAAACATCAAAAGTTATTAAAACATACAAACTTTGGAAATTTAACTGCATACTTCTTCCCAGATCAAGTAATTCAACAGAGACAGGGAAGCAAACCAGTCACCTTCTGTTCTTTAATATTCTTTTGGTCAACCAGGTATCTGACACATGCAGAAAACCAGTACCATTCTTAAGAGTTTTCCAAACTTGACAAAATTCCACATATGCATGCCATCTCCATTTGGAAATTTCCAGGCATCTGGAATGGAATGCACACTTTCCCTGAAGGGATGCAACCTGCTTACCTAATTCTGGGGAGGATTAGGCACATGTTAGCAAGAGCCAGGGCTTAGGTGTGTATTAGCATACTGCTGCAGCTTAATCAACTAAAACTGCATAGCTTGCCGCTAAAAGCACTGTTTGCCAAGATTTTCGCTGCTCATCCACTCGAACTCATTACTGTTAAGGCTTTAGCTAATGGGAGCCGAACTGATGGGAAGGAACCCTATCTCAGTGATCAGTCCCCTCTGCATGACTTGACGAAGACCCAAGGTGGCTGGTTTGTCAGCAGTAGTGCCTTGGAGTACTGTGGACCCACCTGGCTCAGGAACCGGGCTACCAAAACCATCATAGATGGTGGACTGGATTCCAACATTCTGTTGCCATGCACATCATTTGCTCCATATGACATACCACCCACGTAGGGCAGTATTGATGTCTTAACCCATGAGCTGTTAAAATTAAATCAAAATAGATAGTGACAGCAATTTTACTTACCATGCTGACATTCATTTGATCCTCAATGCTGAATAAATTCTCCAGCTGTAAAGCGGAATAAATTCCTACTTTTCTGTGGCATTTGCTGGATAAAACAAAATTCTGGTTCAGCATTCACAAACTGTATTTGCTTTAAGGCATACACAAAGGATTCTCAAGTGCATAATACTTTCGGGGCTTGAAAAAGATTAAGCAGTTCTGGAATGAAAGCCGTCAATACTGTCTCTGACTATGGAGAGAAACATTTACTACACATGCAGGTTTGGCCTCGTTGATTTATTACTCTATTCAACAGGTGGGTCTCTTATGGAAGCTAAGTGCCGATAATCAGAGAGGAGATAATGCTCTTTTTCACTGCACAAGCTATACCAATCCTTCATTAAGTACAAAGCAGTTTTGCCTGAAGAGTTCTGCCCACCTTCAGCATAATGCTGATGGTTGGATAGATGATATTCGAACCAAAAAGTCCTATGCAATATTCTACATCATCAATTTTGTCTTATGACGTTAAGTGATTTGCTTTACACAAAACATTTTAAAGTTGGAAAAGAGCCCTCCAACAGCCACTCTGTCAAAAAAAAGTAAAGTAACTATTCAATTGAAAGCTTTTCACGGTTACTGCTATATTAAGTGAGAGAAATTATTTAATTCCATCCCTCTACAGCACAATGATGGTCTCTAACTGAAACAGCCAAACACAGTTACATTTATAGGAAATATTACATTATGGAGTTACTAAGGATGCTTACGTTCAGTAGAACAAAATTTTCATAATTCTGGGCTAGATTCAGACCTTGGTGGCAGAACAGAAAACATGCTTTCCATTGGACAACTTGGGACTATGCTACAGTTCTCCCAAGACTAGCAATAGCATTACCATAGGTTTCAACTCGAGTATTGCCAAAATTGCAACCTCCATAGCTCAAGGCAGTAGTTAATTTCCTTAATTAAAAGCAGCAAATTGATGGCAATAATAAATCAGCCCTTTGGCCATTTACCACCAATTTATTAATACGAGAGTGAGGAGGGTAAATCTTGCACTTGGAATCTTAGTCTTGCATCCAGCAGTTAACTGCTAATTTACCACTTAATACCATGTGTAAATATTCCTCCACAATACTTCATCAAAACTACAGCAGTGCTTCTTCAAAGGAATGAAGTAAATATAAATGAATTTATTCAGTGGCGAATAATATTGAATTCAGTCCTATTACATGAGACTGCATGGATCTAGATTGCAAAAATAGCATGCACCTCAGTACTTTTATATTTTTCCACTTGTACCACTGCCACTACTAATGGAAATTTATAGAAAATATATTTTGCAAAGATAAAAAAATTATAAAAACATTTGAATCACATAGTTACAACCAAATTGCTTTGGGAACTCAGATATGTCATTTAAAGCATCACAGGCTGCTGCACTGAGCCATATGAACAAGCTCACACAGGTTTAATCTCTCATCTATGATGAGTCAGCAAATCTCTCATGAGGTAGTAGAGGGGGTACAATAAGTGTCTTTGGTATCCCAAACTAGGACAGGCGGAGAAAAATAATCAATGAGGATTCCTACTCCAGATCACCTTCCCAGAATACAGCAGGCATGTCAGAAGGCAAGGATGCTCAGTTCCAACTTCCCATATGTTGAAAATGCTCATAACTATTAGTTCAGCCACAGCCTCATGCAATATCTTGTGGCTTGAAATCCTGATGGGTGCCACACACCCTTTTGAGCTTGACAAAATAATAAAGTCCCAGAATTATAAAAGTATTCCATCTAAGATAAAGGAGGGTGGAGGAGGGATTCCTTGGGGCTGACTCGGCTCCAACGAGGGTCACCTCCAAAGTCAGGCAGGTCTCGTGCAATTCAAGACATTGTTCAGTATGGAAGAGTGGGTTTGGTTTTCATAGGTCCTCAAGCCAAGGCTAGTAAGCAGGTGAGTCCTGGCCAGTCAAGTACAATGCTGCAATAACAGATCATCAAAAATCGCTGTCCAGATTTACACATGAAAAATGTTTGAACAATCTCTGAGAACCCACCAGCGTCAATTAACTTTTTACTATTTTCAAAAAAAAACACAGGTTATTGGACAATGGATTGCTGTATCAAAACCCATGGTTGAAGCACAATCAACAACAGATTTTATTAATAACAAATCCTTACGTTTGAGATGGTGCCTTTCATAGAACGAGGACATCTCAAGTACTTCACAAAATATACTGTGAAGAGTAGTGACTGTGCATTTGTAGGCAAACGCAGCAGCCAATTTATGCACAGAATAGTCCCACAAACAGCCATGAAATCAATAACCAATAGTTTATTTATTTCGGGGCATGTTGGCCAAGACACTGGGAAGAAAACTGTTCTCTTTTTGAGTAGTGAAATGGGCTCTTTAACATCCACCTGAACAGGTAGACGTGACATTGTTGGGTTAATGTTGGGTTAACATCTAATCTGAAGCACAGCACTCCAATAGAATATCAGACAACAACTTGCATTTACGTAGCATCCTTCGCACGGGGTAGCGTCTTGGAGCAGTTAAACTAAATACAATTAACATTTATATAACACCTTTCACTTCATAAGGATGTCTCAAAGCGCTTGAAAATGCTGGCTGATCACCCGAGCTAGGGGTGGGAGCCTAGGGGGAAGGGAAAATCTAGAAAGAAAGAATGGCCAAAAAGGTAAATTCTGAGACAGACCTTGAAAGGGGATAGAGAGAGAAAATAGGAAGGTCTCCAGCAACAAATTAACACAAAGTGCTTGTATCTTACGTGTATACACTCTGGAAAGTGATGTTTATATTGGAATCAGAAAACAGAGATCCTGAAATGAAGTATTTCCATTCAGAGTTCAATAAATAGGGTGTATCCAGAACCTGAAATATAAAGAGAACCATCCAAATTAACAATGAAGCATTATACTCCAGGAACAAAATAAATACCACGCTTCTGCTCAGTTATCAGTAATTTTATAGTTTGACAAAGAAAACTTATAACTTCACCTTAAATAACTCGTTATCTTTTAAAGCTTGACAAGCAAGTTTTTCCACATTTCCTCCAACAATGAATGTGACCACAACGACCACCATCAAAAGCCAGGAAAAGATAAAACTGATCCCTACTCCACTGAAAGAAATCGTAAATTCAATTAATTCAATAGAATTAAATAAAGGTGTTCTTTAAAAAGAGAAACACAAACAGTTCTCTATTAAACACGTTTACAATCTAATCAACGATAACTTGCATTTATATGGTACCCTTCATGCAGAGTAATGTCTCGGAGCACTTAACAGTGGGGGAGTTTGATGCGAGCTAGGCATTACTCAGAGCAAAAGTACTTCAAATGTTTTAATTCGATTATTCAGATTCTCTTACGCCATGAGAAGACTGCCTCCTGTGTTCGATATGCAGCCTCGCGTGGTTGGAGAAGCATGTTTGTCAAGGCCACAGGAGCCAAATAGTAAACCAAGATAGTTGAAAGCAAGGATCAACGACACCGAACAACAGACTGCAACACCACCAAGCCACCTAGAAATACATGCAAGGCCTGAAAACTCTTCCATTCTGAACAATTTGAGACTCATTCACCACGTTAAAAGAACTTACAAATGCAACCTAAAGTTATACAAGTTGCAGGACTTCATTTTAATAAGAAAACACTCTCGCAAAGTTATTTTATCTGGCATCGCAACAACGTCCAAAGTTCTATCAAAACAATCCAAAGTTGTATTTTCAAGACAGGTATAGTTACCAATATAAATATTTTACAATTTAAAAAATATATAAATCTTAAGTGAACAACTTTCCTGATGACTTAATTAGTTTATTGATGGGAAGAAATTGCACTGGAGTGAGATTTACTCCATTTATATAGTATTTTACAGTGTGCAGGATTTGGCAAATTGTTGAACTGGGTTATCATTGAAATCAGTTTTCTGTAATTCTTAAATGCAATAGAGGAAATCTAGACTTGAGTGGAATTTTTCCCCATTAGTAGGAAAACTATAATTGGCCTCATTGCTTTTCAAACGACTCCTTTTGGGCATCGACATCAGAGCCAAGCTAAAGGGAGCTCAAATGTGATGCTATCTGCGACATTCAATATCGAGGCACACACATTATATTATTTCATGGGTGAGATAGCACATCCAAGCACGGAAAAAAGATGTCATCCACCATGAGAAGAAGATGGGGAGGTGAAAACATTGATCAGGGAGAAAAATGCTCTCACCAATGGAAGATGAAAGAAATGATCAGATGACAAAAAGAGGGTCACTTCAGTTACTAAGACAAAAGAAAAATACCTGTAAAAGTCATATTGCTCCACCAATGGATAATACTGCTGAAAGTAACTCTGAAAATCTTCGAGGTACTCAGTTAAACTATGAAGTAAATTCTGAATAGGCAAGTCATTGGAAATGCCTGCAAGAACATCGCCAATACGGTTCAGTACATCATGTACATCTGAAACAAAGCATGAACACCATGAACACCTCAAGTCCACAATGATGTACAGATTAGTTGATTCCATCATTGTTAGCGCTGAAGAATGAAATTGATGAGGAGGATGACAATGTAGGATTTAGCATGCACATTCTTACTGCCATATACTTAACAAGCCAATTCAAAAATGTGTATGAATCAAACTGAAGCTACATTTATCAGTGCCACAAGACAACATTAGAGCTTATGTAATGCATCCATAGAGTTTGAGATGAGTCTGAAATTTACACAGAGTAATGTTTGCAATTTTTCTACAGCCAGAGTTTCCTGTTCTGCTTACAAATCAAAATGAATAGAAGCTAACATGTTTGAAACTAGCAGTTGATCAATATAACACGGTTATCTATTTCATAAATGTTCTGGGGAGCCAAAAACCCTTTTATATCAGAGAGAATTTATATGAGAGATTACTATGCGATCAGAAAACTCTGACTTGGTACGTTACATGAAAACACATGGAGACACACAGCACGACACAGATTTTACATACTGTGCGTTTTTTTTGCTAAACTTACGAGGGAGAGCTGCAAAATTAGAAAAAGATGCCACGAACAAAATAAAAAACAGTAAAAAAGAGTTTAGTACAAGACCACTGAAACCTATATTTAGACAATTCTTTTTTGCACTTCCTTATTTTCTGAAACTATACTAATTTAGTTAGCAGTGAACTGCTCCACTTAAATTAGTTGGACAAGTCATAATTCATATATAATCAAAGCAGAAATGTTCCTACAGCTGTACCTTTTCGAATAGATTTGGTTTCATTCTGTACCATTTCTTCAGTTTTATCCAATGCTGCATATCCCTAAAACAAGAATTACAAAATTATTAAAAGCTAAACAGTCCAAAACAAATACATTATTAATTTGTTCTCAACAGTATTATATTTATTGTCGGGTCAGTATTTTGGAAGGATGAGATCAAATGAGATGAAGGGCCTTCTTGATCCACATCTCTAATGATCTATTTTCATGCAAAACGGGCCTGTAATTCTGCTTCAAATTATCGTAATAAATCTAAAGACAGAAATAGAGTTAATTATAGTGCAGCCCTGCTATAACACGTTCAGTATAGCGCCAAATTGCTAATAGTATGATTGCACAAAAGTTCACTGCTCACAGAGGCAGCCGGTTCCAATTGTTTCCCCCGCACTGGCAAGCTATCCATGCTAAAATAGCTGATGTTTGGTCTAATAGGTCACCGCCAATATCACTTCTTGCTTCGTACATGTGCAGAAGCAGGAAGTGGCATTGCTGTTACCCACTGACCTGGAAGGTGACCTTTTTTCTTTTAGTCCAGGAGTCTGTAGGCACCAGCTACTAATGTCCCTCACTATAATGCCGGGTAGTATTTTATTGATCCAAAACTTGCATTATAGAGAGGTTGATTAGAGCCACATTCTTTTGTAACAGTGCCCAATGTTAGACACAATGTGTACATCAAATCTAGCTGCTTTCTGAAGGCACTGATTGAAGTGTTTGGGGCTTTTTAAAGCGATAACTCTTACCTTTCGCACCAAGTCAGAGAAATTTGTTTTCTGCACATCTTTCACTTTGGCGAGTTGAGATTCTACACCTTGTAACTGAAGCATTAAAAATAAATTTAGTTGGTTGAAAAAGACAACTCATTAGGCATAACAAAATTACAAAATATTTTTTAAAAATCACTATCCACATTGGGTTTAAAATGTAAAGCACCATAGATACCTGAAATGGTATAAAATGCATGCAGTTCACAAGGTGACATTTGTAACACCAAGAATGTTACCAACTATTTTTGATCAGTGTATATATTTAAATGTTTACACACCAAGAAAAGGAGCAAGCTTCTGACTGACACGTCTGACTGTTATCAAGGAGGCATTAAGGGACAGCCCGTAACGAGAAGCAACTAGGTGATGCTGCCTCCACAATTCTGTAGGAATCACCCCATTTATACCATGGGTAAGATTCCACCTCAGTATGGTCGACAGATAATTGCATGCTCAGAGAGCATCACTGTTGAAGGGATTTGCCAACTTCTGCATTGCTCCTTGTGGAGATTGGAATGTGCCAGTGTCAGGTGTGACGTATTCCAATCTCCACAAGGAGCAATGGACAATCAGAAAACTATCAGACAAGGCCATCCAGCAAGGTGCCATGGCCTTAATGGGCTTTCGGCACTCAGCACAATGCAGTGTGAGATCCCACAATTCAGGGTTTAGATCCCCACTGTAGAGTATCTTTGTCCAGACAAGGTCACTTAATTTGACAAGTTGGTCCTTGGGAGCAAGACATCACTTGCTATTCAAATTAACAACCAAGCCAAGCTGTAAATTGAATCTGACAAAGCAATTGGAAGGAGGGGAAAAGAAGCAACATATTTAAATAAAGCATCTCTTACCTTACTGAAATCTGCATTTATACTAAGACTTGGGAGTGTATTCCTGATGGAGTCACAGATCTGAGTACTTCCTGGTGTCCTGCATGTTGGATCATTCAGTGTGTCACCGAGGCTGGTTTGCAAATCAGTCAAGGAAGTACTTAATTTATCGGTTCCATCTTTTAAGACATCACGGGAGAGACTCACATTCTCTAAGGCTTCCTGGGTTTCCTTGATAGCTGCAGAGGCATACACTTAGTGAGAAATATCCAAGCAATACCACATTTCCTTTACTTTCAACATTACTTGGCTGGACAAAACCCACCATATTTCAGCTATAGGTACATTCTGAAGAGAAAATAGATCAGTTTCTACTCATTGAAATATTGAAAGCAGAAAAGTGCATTCTCGTTTCTGAAGTCTCTAAAACCCCAAATACATCCAAGTTTCTCAAAAGAATGAAAAAATGGACAAATTCATTGACAATTATTGGAATCTTATGGGAAATTGGATGAGTAGATTGGATGAATTGATAGTTAAAGTCTGCCTAAAATTGTTATGATGAGCTTTCGTATAGTTATCAAGATCTGCTGCTTATTCTCAAGATCCACAGGTAACGTAAAACAAATATCAAATTGAGAACTTCATTAATCTAGTTCAAAGTGGCATCCTGAAAACAGTAGCACCACCATTCCAAGAAAGTACCACTGAATTATAATGACCTCATATTTCTATTTTAAAAATCATTTTGTTTAAATGGAAATCACAGATTGCTTCAAAAATCTGGTTATCAAGCATCATTGCAGTTCATTCCTTACTGGTGATTGTGCCAGTTATTCCAAAGTTTAATTATTTTTGTGTTGTATATATTATGTGTTTTTTTTAAAAAAGTTTTCAAAATTCCATTGTTTCAATACCCAAGATTTACTTTTCTAGGTCAGAAGCTGCACAAATCACCTGTAAAAATCAGGCCTGTGAAGTGAATTGAAATGCAGCACTATTCTGCCACTAGATGGAACTCAATATGCATAGTTCATTGAACATGCAATGGAAGATGGATTCTGCAATATTATAATAGGACCAACTTAGTTGGTCTAGCTTCTAAAATAGAAGCTAGACCAACTAAGTTGGTCCTATTATAATATATAATATATTCTAAATATATTATATAATATATATATTCTAAATATATTATATAATATATTCTAAAATAGAAGCTAGATATTGTGGCATTGGTTGGCGCTAGACCTGTGCCCACAAAAAAAAATTTCTCTTAATATAACAATACTTGTATTTGATCATGTCATTGAGACTTCTCAAAGCAATTCACAGAATATACTGTAAAATTGACTGTATATTTTGTGGACAAAACACAGAAGCTAATTTCACACAGCAGTATCATTTTCCTATTAGACTCAGAGCTAACACTGTTCCACTTTGGCCTCATTCCCTTCGTTAATTTCTCATTTTTATACTTGAGGGTGCATTTTTGGGGCTGCAACAGAAATTCAGTCTTCAAAGGACTGATGAGATGTTTGAACTCAAATTAAGAGATTAAATCACACATCTTTTTATTTGTAAGGAATGTTAGTCTTTCCCCCACATAAGGAGCCACTTTCATTGGTGGATTTTATGCAGACAAATAATTTCCAAGAGGAATATTTAACAATATAACTAGCTGAGGAGTAAAAATCACCACAATACAACAATGTATGGATTGGAACTGACAAAACAAAAACAGGCAACAAACAACCAAAATTTACAAATATACTAAATGTTCTAAAGGCTTCACGACTCTTGTTACCCATCAATGTTACCTTTGATAGCCCTTTCCACTGTGACTTCAAAGCAAAGCAAGAAAAAGTAAAGCAAAGAAAGCAGATAACTTTGGAAAAATAGCAATAAGATAGACAACAGCAAATCTATTTTTATCCTTAATAAACCCTCAAATGTCAAGGGTACAAGTTTTTGTAATCAAGTACATAGACCACTCTAATTTACTATAATTTAGTCTTGTGATTAAATATGGTACTTCAAACCAAAACATACATGTTCTCTACAAATTAGAAATGAAAATAATACAGATTATTGCATTTATGACCATCTTATTGTAAGTATTCTTCTGCTGAGTCATAATTTCTTCCAAGAGTAGAGGCTTTAAACACTAAAAAGTGGAGTCCTGTAGCTCAGTGGTTAGAGCACTTGCCTTGCAAGTGAGAGACCTGGTTTCAGTTCCCGGTAGGGCGAAACCTTGGGCAAGCTTCCTTACTCCTGATAATAATCCCACAAGAAAAAAAAACAATTTAGTCATTTCAATCCACGACTGTTTGTGGGACGCTGCTGTGCGCAATTGGCTGCCGTGTTTCACTCACAAATATACAGTCAATTCACTTTACAGTGTATTCTGTGAAGCGCTTTGAGACGTCTAGAAGATGTGAAAAGCGCTATATCAAATGCAAGGATTATTATTATTATTAAAAAGATGTTTTTGTTTAATTGTAATTCCCTGCCTGACAAAAGGTGTTGGTGTGAGATTGCACATTTCTATCCCCTGATCTACAAATTGTATCAAAACTGTAGTGCCCTTCTTCTTGAAGCTGTTTCATCACCAGACATTATTTTGCCTTAAAAATCTTTCTCCCTTCTATCAAAAACTATGTTGAAAACAATAAATGTATAACTTAATATGCCCTCCATAGGAATGTTCACTGAAGAAATAAGCAAGAAATGGTATCGCAATAAAATAGTAGCACAAAATATATTCAAAGGATATTCTTTAAATGAAGCAACAACAATTTGCACCTAATATAGCACCTTTCTTGGAAGGAGAATGTCTCAAAGCTTTACAAAGACACAGTGGGAACCCGAGGTAGGCGTACGAGAGTGTCAAAGGTGCAGTCAAAAACATGGGTCTTTAGGCAGGTTATAAAAGCAGAGGGAGCAAGAGAGAGGATAGAGAGATGTAGGAAAGGAGTGGGGCAAATCTCACCCACCAAATATGGAGGAGAGTGGGCGAAGACATGAAGCAGGCAAGAGTTTGTATTTCAGAGCAAGTTGGTCGTAGGAATAGGGTGTTCGGAGATCACAAGAGAGACAACACTATTTACTGAAATACGTAACAATGGTGCCACTTCCTGCATACTGCTTATGTAACAATTTCCCATGCAAAAAACGGCCAACTTCCTGGTAGTCAAGTTGTTGAATCATTTCCCAAGAGTCAATGCATAAGCGCTTCTTGCACACATCATGCATGTGCAATATGCAGCAAATTACATTGGTGTTGATCTGAAGACTCAGAAGTCGACCATGTTTAAGAGTGCTGGAGGCCAGCTGATCTGTGCGTTGAAACCAACAAGTCACTCATCTTATAAGCGAACCGCCCTTTTAGTAGAGTTCCACTCTAATTCATTGTTAATTTTTAAGGTGGAATGCTAAGGGGTAATTAAATGGAACATTTCTCAATTGATTGCATTTTCAGTTTACAATAAAAGAAGCTTTAAAATTTGGTGCAGTAATGTGACTGCAGTCCTCAAAGGGTTACGGTGCTTTCAATTCAACCAATTTAACCAGAGAAGGGCACAATAATTAATCCAGAACAGGCGGAGCAAAACAAAAACAAACCTCCCCTTTGAAGACTGAGTGAACAGAAATTATACTTGACCGCCATACTCAGACAAACAAACATACATTACTCACTTCCAGACATGTGTAAGACTCCATCCAGTGCAGGGTAAATATCCTTTGCCAAACGTTTCTTAATCATATTGCTGAGTACAGGCCCAATATCTGCACAATAAAAAAAGTTGGGTAGTACTATGGCGTGATAAGCAATAAGAACCAACTTGGTTTTGCTGGAACAATGAATGTGAATGAAAAAAGTCAGATATTATTGATATATTCATTGTTCCATGTTTATTCCAGACATTCAGACAGTTTTTTCAGCATTTAACATTCTCATTCCTAATTTCTATTAGGAAATCAGACAACTGTTGAGAAATATTCATGTGCAGTTCATGATCTTGGCTGAATCATAAACTGCAGCCATTTGGTAAAGGACCAGAGGATCTTGAAGTGAGTTACTTACTTACTGGGGGGTGGGGGGCAAGAATAGAAGACTGAGCAAAAAAGCTGTAACAGCTGATAAAATTTGGGGAAAGAACCGCTGACTGACATGAAAACATAGGTTGGGCCATGATTAAATAATTCATATGAAGATATACTTCTCCAGGAATTAATTCAGCACCCTCTCAGCAGAGAATTTTTTTCTCTTCAAAAGAATATTTACATGAATGATACTATATCTTCCGCTTCATTGCTGCCTCTAAAGAAAGCATATTGTTTTGAAAAAGGAAAAAAAAAGCCTTAAAGCTAACTTATTTCTTTAATGGTAATATCCCTAACTCCTATTTGATGTAAATGCTTAATAAAACAAAATACATTAAAACTACTATTAAACCATGGTGAAGGAATCCTCTTTGCATTTGATGACCTGAACCTCAGTTTCTCTACTTTCTCTTCAAAATATGCCTCAGTCAAATTGATGCATGGTGTAAGCCGATTGAGGTGGTTCAGACACTGATGCAAATGAACAAGGACAGTACTCCCACGAGGGCTCTGGGGGAATAGGAAGAGATAAGCATCAAAGTTTGTGGAAGCGTATAGTAGGCATCTGTCAATGGTATGAACCACCTGGGAAAAGGCATAGCCCAAGGCAACGAACATGACAGTCCAGATCACTGAGTGCTTATCTTCTGCCACTGATGGCACAGGCAGTCTAGAGCAGTGTTGTTCAATAGAAATTAGACAAGTCACAAGCGTTGCTAATGCAACATGGTTTTAGCCACATGGACTCATTTTAGGCAAAATACACTCACACAATACAGTAAATGTACTTCATATGTATGTTTACGTGTATATTTACTTAAACATTTACAATTCAGTATGAAACTTTGCGGTCTTTCCTTTTTTACCAAATTGATGGGCTGCTTTTCCTTTTACCTGTAACCAGGGAGAAAACGCCAGAGTTCAGCAACAATACATTACTATATGGAGAGAGGAGATGTCAACCAATCGGAATAACCACTCCAAGCCAGCAGAAGAAAGCAAGCCCAGACAATAACAAGCAACTCCAACAGGGCACGTAATGGCAAAGGGCAAGCAGCATCCAACCTAGTTTGGGATGGAGAGCAGGGACAAATCTTCTCTTTAGTTTTCTTTCTTGAGAACCCGTCAGATCTGGTATTTTCACCCATGTTACACACCATTTTAGTAGCTAACCCATAAGCAGTAAACAATGAAGAAAAGCACACAAAACTCTCAAAAAAACAACCACATGCACTGATTTCCGTCTTACCATTTTACAAAAAAAAGCACAACAAGTATTAAAGTAGAATACTAAATTATCTATTAATGTTGAAAGGAAGAAAACTACCCTAAAATTGAATATTAGTATTAAAATCACATGATCAATGACAGTGTCTATTACTCATTTTTTATTTACTAATCAAAAATGCAATTTAGCTACATCTGGATTCTCAATTCGCACATGTGGCTAATGTATTGGTCAATGCTGGTCTAGAGTAAAGGAAGCAACCTAATTCTGAAATATACCAATGAAACAGAGTAGCCTTGGCTCTGGTAATAAGCCTGCAGGGGGCCTTTATACCCTTAAGTAATCCAAATAAATGTCTCAAAGGCTTACTTGAAGAAAATAGGTCACCCCTTTCACTGCTGCAAGAGGATTTGGTGGCATCGTAATAACAGATTTGAAACAGACTATGGATATGGACTACGTAAAGCTGAATAAGTGCCTATATTATCTACTTCGCTTATTTAAAAAGGGATTTTTAACTGCAATATTCTTTTTTGCAAAACAATAGCTTCCCTCTCCCATTTCAGAATTTGCATGCAGAATATTGCCCTATAGCTCAAAGTTGGGAAGTGGAAAAAAATGGAATCCGTTTCAGAGGCGCATCAAAATAGCATTCAACATGATATCATACACATGTCAAATAATGTGACGATAAGTAAAGGATCCAAATCCTAATCGACAGTATCTTATCAAAATCAGTAGGCACACTTGCATAACAAAACAAATAAAAACATAAGACCATAAGAGTTTGCTAGACAAAAGAAGACCAAGGTCCATCTAGTTCACCTTCCACCATCCTGGCAGTCGCTTGACATCTCATGTCCCAATGTAAACATAATGTAAATATTGAAACATAAAAAGGGTTCACCTAAGAATTTGTACTTTGGTGCTTGAGTAACATAGAATAAGTTCTTTTTTAAATATGAGCTGCAAATTTCACTCATGCCAAACTTATTTTAATAACCTAATTTTTAAACTGTGAAGATTAGATAGATCGAGTTTCAATAAAATGATTACATAAGTGGAGTATTAATTTTGTGAGTTCTCACTTCATATCGTACTGCTGGAATTTAGGTCTACAAGGATGGTAATTTTTTTTTATCTAAAGTGAACCAAAACCATTTGTGGAAAATGATTGAAGTGATTGAAGTATTCGGTTCAGCATTTTATGTTGACGTTTTTCAATGTGTAATTATACCAAAACAATCCTGTGTTGAAAGAAACAACTACATATTGAGCAGGGCACACCAATTACAGCCAGAAAAACTATAAAGCATGGAGGAGTATCACAGCACATGTTAATTTTTATTCTAACTGAGAAATTTATAATTCATATCAAGGGCAGCTAAAATTAAAATTTGTTTACTTACTGTTAACATCTGCTAAAGCCTTGTTTTTGGTGGTGTTGTATTGTTTTATGACGTAATCAATTTGCTGAAATAGAAACAAAAATCAATGCACTGGTTTGCTATCTTGTGAAGTGAAACATTTCAAAACATACCTCTTAAAATGTCACTGTATATTTAGCCAAAACACCTCCTTACACTTGGTGTAGCATTGATGAAAGTATGTAGGTCTTTAAAGTTGCTGTTGACCAATTTCCTGACTCCTTTAAGCTGGTCAGTTAGATTTTGGTTGGCTGCATATGTGCAGAGTGCTCCTGCCCTGTTATAATTAAAACAAAAATGTTACTTTGTTGCTTTTCCTTAAACACAAGCAGCCTCTAAGAGATTTCCAATCAAACCTTACCCACCAAACCGTTCATAAGACCTATTCAGTTGGAGAAAGGGATAGGTTTGATTTTATTAAACCATCACAGATGAAGAAAGATCTTGCATCTTTATTATGCTTAACTTAAATACTCAACAGTCTTGTGTATTGATTGTTCCTATCCAAAGTCCTGGAACATGTAGCTGCCATTCCTCAGTGGTCTTCCCAGTTCCACTACCCAAATATCCAGCCTCCCTCAAACTCACCTGCACCAAGATCCACACACCCCTAACCTTAATCCTCACCAGGCTCAACGTCTCTGTCTCCCAACAGATCGACTTCAAGGTCCTCCTCCTTACCTATAAATCCCTTCAAGCACCATCCAATCTCTTTGATCATCTCCTTCTTACCTCCTCTGCTTGGCTAACTTGGGCCAACACCATTGGTGGCCAAGCCTTCAGTCACTCACCTCTCATCTCTAGAACTCACTTCCTCTATCCCTCCAGCTTATCCACTTGGTCTTTAAATTCCACCTTAAAACCTACCTCTTCAACCAGGGCTATGGTCACCTCCCACTCCCCCCTTTCTCAATGTTTCTATAGGCAAATGCACCCACCATTTTGTGTTACAACCGGGCCTCAAAAACAGTCACAAAGTAAATAACCAATTAATTAGAAAGATTGCTGGCTGGGACTGGGTGAAACTACTTTTTAGAATAACATCATGGGATCTTTAATATTCACCTGAACAGGATAACAGGATTTCAGTTTTAACATCTCACCCAAAAGACAGAACCTCCAAAAATGCAGTGTTTTCCCCAAACTGCGCTGAAGTTGCCAGCCAAGACGGGCGATAAAACATTTAAAGTTCAATAAGATCACAACAAAGATTCAACATCAAGACTACAAAGAAAAGCTTCTGCATTAATGATAGTTAGATTGCAACCAAGTCCTTTTCATTTCGCACCTCAAATTATGAGTTATTTGAGTTTATCACAAATTGTTGTCATGCAAACAGTTCAGTAGTAAATGGAAGTAATAAAATAAGAGCACAGTATTGCCAAATTTCAAAACTACAACTCCCATGAAGCAGACTGATCACATGCACATCATATCTGAAAACTGCACGTCTCCAGACCATACACACTTGTAACTGCCAGCGGCTCATCCATAGGTGACATGTGTTACTATAACTATGAGACCTCAATACAACAACAACAAATTTACATTTGTAAAGTGCCCTTCACATTGGGAAGATGTCCCAAGGTGCTGGACAGACAGTGTTTCAGATCCGAGCTGGGGGTCTGGGAGAGTGGAGGGCAGGGGGCGAAGCAGGGAAGTCAAAAGCATGGTTCGAAGAGGTGAGTCTTGAGATGGGTCTTGAAGGAGGCAAGGAAGGGGGAGAAGTGGAGGGACTGTGGGATGGAGTTTCAGAGGGTGGGGACAGAGTGGCAGAAGGTGCACCCGCCAAGTGGGACGAGTGAGGCGGGGAACGTGAAGCAGGTTGGAGCCCGCTGAGCGGAGGGAGCGAGCAAGATGGTAGGAGGTTAGGAGGTCGCAGAGGTAGGGGGGAGCAAGACCATGGAGGGCTTTGAAGGTGAGGACCAGGATCTTGAACTGTATCCTCTGTATAATGGGAAGCCAGTGGAGTCGGGCGACGATGGGATGATAGGGTCAAGGAGCCTGGTGCGGGAGGGGACGCAAGCTGCAGAGTTCTGGATGATCTGCAGCCTATGGAGGGAGGAGTTGGAAAGGCCAACAAGCAATGAGTTTGCAGTCAAGCCTTGATAACTACTTTGCCCTGTGTATGCAATACATATATTATATATATATATTCTGACACTGTGTCAATCTAATAGAGCCTTAGATTTCTTGTATTACTTCAATTAAATGTTTTTCGGAAGGGTTTCACATGCAATTAGGATTAAATCACATATTCCACGTATTAGCGACATGGAAATACATTAATCCAGAAATTAAAGCAATTTAGGCACATGCTCATCAAAGCTCATCACATGCCCTTTATGACTTGGTGAGCAGAGCTGGATGCAGTATTTAAGCTGCAGTCTCACCAGAGCACTGTACAGCTTGAGTTTAATATTGTGCTTAGTAGTGATTAATATTGTTGCATACCCTATTGAGCTTTTTTTCCTCTGGTTCCGCAGTCCTGCCTAGTTAGGCGTGATCTGCTAATTTAACTACTTTGCGCTGTGCATGCAAATACAGATACTTTATCTATTCTTGGAAATATGAGACCTCTCAGCATTGATCCTCTGAGAAACCACTCAATAGGAGAATGCCATCTGGGAATCTAAACTCAATTGATTTAGCAATTTCGCCCAGCATCCTGCTTGCCTTGTTTATTGCTCCTCACACTGTTTTGACATAGTGAGAGATTGCCAAATTAGTTCGAGTTCAAATCCCTTTCATACTCAAATGAAGCAAAGTGTTTGCTAAACATCATGGTGTCAGTATCAAAGCATGACATACAACAAACAAAAATACACGATTTCTCTACCTCATTTCCTAGAAATTACTCCAGACCAGCATTGCTGGAAATGTGGGAGCTGCTCTAAGCTGCAGTTGGTATGTAAATGGCTCCATTGCAAATAAATGGATCCCTGAGAAAAGAGCTCAAAATAACTTGGAACCTTTTCTCCCAACTGTTAAAATAGCTCAGTGGGTAAGGACTACTGAAATTACTTTTACTGATTTTCACCGATAAATATGTGGGAATGTTGGGGAAAAATGTCAATAGTGTGGTGCACTATGGTGTAAGCATCCCGATCCCCACTTTGCTATGCAACGCTGCTGACTCTGGAAATATAATGAGCATACTGAGAATGTGTTTTCAATGCACGTACAATTCGGTATGGTACAGTTAAGCTGGTTACGGCAATGGGTGTGCAATGCTAGGAATCTGGGAATGCGTGGCAGATCCATTATGCAAATCCCCCTACCTCTGCGACCTCCTAACCCCCTACCAACCCGTCCGTTCTCTCTGCTCAGCCGGCTCTGGCCTGCTCCAAGTCCCCCGATCCACCCACCCCACCATCTCGGGCCTGAAATGCTGTACTCTGTTCAGCGCCTTGGGACGTCCTCCCGACGTGAAAGGCGCTATACAAATCTTGTTGCTGTTGTCTTTAATGTGTTAACAAAAGCAGAGACGCTACAATTATCCTCATCATTTATAGAAACTCATAGTTTAATAATCCTTCCATTTGACTTAGTATTGTATCATGTTATCAGGATGTTTCAAAGCAATTCACAATATTTTACTGCAAATTATAGTGAGCAGACAATTTGCTCACAGCAATATCCCACAAACAGGCATGACATGAATGACCAATTTTATTTCGGATATTGTTGATCAGGAGACTTGGAGAAACTCCCTACTTTTTTCAAATAGTGCCATGGGGATCCTGAACTGGTAGACAGGACCTCGGTTGGACATTGAATCCAAAGGACAGCACCTCCAACAATGCAGCATATCCCCAGCCTGGACTGAGTCAAAGTCCCAATGTGAGGTTTGAACCCATAATTTTATGACTCAGAAGCAAGCGTACTACCAACTTAGCCAGGCAGACCAATGTTTTTAGCTTTTAAGCATATTTCAAACCTTGGGTCTAATTCAATATGCAGAAGTTGTATCCAAATAGCCAAGATAAAGTGCAAAACATCTAACCAGATTGATTTAAAGCATGATTTCAATCGCTTTGTGGAGCAAGTTAGATGAGGTGCAAGAAGGGTGGAAAAAAAATAAACTTGCATCATTAATAGTCAGGTTCCAGAACCAGAAATTAGCTGTTAATTTGTTTTGGAGGTTTCTTGATTTATTTACAATGTACCAGATGCAACTTCTACTACATAAATATCAATAAATAAATGAACTTCTTTTTTTGGGGCAAGGGGAATCTAGGCAAACTACACAGTATATTTAACACTATGAAACACCCATAGAGTTTTGCTATCCATCACAATTAAGTAACCATAAATTTACCAGTTTACAGACATTCCAGGTTAACTTTTTTTAAAAAAAGCAGTGGAAGTTACAACAGAGACCTTAGTAAGATAAAGAATTGCCCAGAAAAGTTTAAAAGTTTTAGGTAACTGTGCACGTTTTCTCCTTCACTTCCCCTACAGCTTCAACAACTCATTAACTTTGCAGCAACCAGACATTTGTGTCTCAACACATTAGCCAGTAGTAGCATTCCTGATGTAACAAACCACAGCAGTGTCACTGCACGGCTGTTTTCCCTCTTTCCCATTTCTGAATGTTGGGGCAAAGTGCTACACGTCAGCAGAGGAAAACCCCTCAGAAAAATCCTAAAACAGATGTAGGACTGAGCAGATCATTGTCCTGCAGACTGCAAGCACAGTACTATATTGATCACTGAATCTGTCCTTTCCCTTCAGGTATAGACATGAGTATACATGTATCCTGACTGAAATGGACAGCTTTGGATGGCAGATAATCTGTAATTAATACATTCAAATTGCTTGATCATAGGACTTGAAGGAGTTGAGTGGCAACCATTTTACAGACCCATTCAAGTAATCATTTCTCTGCCAACATGGTTCTGAAACATGCTGAAGCTATACCATCATCAACTTAGCAACGCACATAAACACACACTGGAGTGAAATGGTGGGAAAATATCTCCTCTTTCCCCCTTCCCCATGCAGCCCAGAACTTTATACCAGTATTTCCCCTCCCCAAACATTCCACTGGTGTGAAACTGTTGTCAGTATCCTAACAGCCTGGAGGTTACCGTGGCAATAAAGATGCTCGCCACAGCAAAAGCCTCTTTCTTGCTTTCTCTTTGACAGTCATTCATGCAGTCCCTCTCCTCACTTGAGAGCTGACCCTGTCGTGTTTGCACTGTAAAGAGGGCAAATTCTCAGCAGGCCAGCAGCACAATGAGAAATGAATCTCGGACACTGCACAGTGTAAACCTCACGCCTAACAGTATTGAAATCCCATGCATCTAAGTACATATTGTTTCAAGCAAGCATGAAGTGGAAAAATAAGCTTTCAAAATGAAATGAACTGGAAAAATACGCCTTCACTTTCTAGCGAAAGTGGAAAAACTCACAGTAAATGCTCAAAGATCATGTTCCTAGGGCTCCATGCACAACAGTTGCTCTGCTATCTTGAACCATATAACGCAGAACTAATCTCAATTAAAAGCAGACAATTCATATGCCTATTTTTTCCAGGAAAGGTTAACTATCTTTGGAATGGTTAACCAACAGTTTATGCTATAGTTACATTTATCTTGATTTCCAAACACACTGTTCATTCTCAGTGCCCTGCTCAATAGGCAGATTTTCAGCATCAAAAGTGAATTCTGAGTATTTTTCATTCTCCTTCTAGGTGGAAAGGAAATTGATAGCTGGACATATTAGACGGACACAGTGACCATATTATTATGTTCATTGAGTGTCCAATGACAAGACTGAAATTAGGCAACTCATAACCATGTCCAAAGTCTTAAAAAGACTTCTTTGTTCACGTATTGTACAGCAAGGAAACCCTGTATCCACAGACTCCGGAGGTCATTTGCGTTATCACAACAGAACAAAGGATCTTTGAAGACAAGAGAGGAGAAAAACAAAACAAGGCTCCTTTCAGAAAAATAATTCCCATGCATCTTTAAGCTATCACTCCAGCGCGCTAACTTTACTTAATACAGTACCAAAACAATACTTGCAGCTTTTGTTCTAAATTCACTACTGAGTTTTATGCCAAGTTATTCTTTTCTATGCCTTCCAGATAAATTATTTGATACAATTTGCATGCACAAAATACAACTTGTTTTCCTTTCCCCTCTCCCTCAATGGACACTGCTTCATGTACTCTAATACACCCATTTATACTGCTGAAAGAACTGCAAGGGATTTATACTGCAATCTGAAAAGTTCAAGATTTCCTTCATACCAAACTCTGGTATACAGTCAGTAATACATTCACCAACACATAACGATTCCTCAGATTGTTTTATGATGGAAAACTGACAGATGAGAAGCACAGATTCCAAAGTGAGTTGTATTTATACTGCAAATGCAGCTGACAAACACTTTTCTTCCAAAACCATCTTTCAGGAACAGATCCATGCTGATATTTTAGTTTTGCTTTAATGACTGCTAAATGTCCTGCTATAAAGGGGGCACAATTCAGTAATCCTAAAAGCATTTTTTTGGCAACATGGAAAATATCTAAGATTATCAATTACAATAACCGTCTGTGATCGTTTGCTGCAGATGTGGCATGTTGTGGATTATTATTATTATTTGTGCCATTCCTGTAAAAATTCTACAAATAGAACTTTAGAAGCTGTCGCTTTTCATTACAGAATGTTTGGCGCCACTGATGAAAGTTCATCTCTGCCATCAACCATAAGTAAACTAGGGATTAAAAAGAGACCATCACCATTATTTACGCATTCCGAGATGCTACCTCGTATGAAGGGAGCAAATTAAATGCAAGTTTTGTTGTTAAAAACTGCTTTGGAATTAAGCAACGTGAGCGTTATTGCAATTTTTAAATTAAATTTCTATTTAATTTAAACCAGTCTAAAAACTTTTGGTCGTCAAAATAAAATGCATGTTATTGCAAGAATTTTGGTTATATCCACAATTCTGGCTGCTACCAAAGCAAATGTCAAGAGTATTGAAATTCAGCAAAAGATGCAATGATGGTTGGCCTGAATGTTATCCCTAATTTGTGGTTCACTACTTGCTGAAAGTTTAAGAAGCACTCGCCTCCACCTTAGAGACAAAGATGAAACCCAGATTCTCAATCTTTCATGCACACATCAACAAATACATCATTTTTTTAATTAAAAAAAGCTGTAAAATATATTTTCCAATCAGTTTAATAATTTAAGTTCCTTTAATAATTTAAATGCTGAAGACAAAGTAAAGAAAATTAAAATTTACAGAAATTTACACTTGAGTATAGCTCTTTCCTTTTTGGGGGCAACTGGGAGTCTGACACAGTTTGGCTCAGTGTCACTCTCACCTCTGAGTCAGAAAGTTGTGGGTTCAAATCCCACATTGGGACTTGAACTGGAATGTGCACTCTCTCCCTTGTCTAATTCCGAAAACTACTGGATGGAGGTTGGCAAGATCCAAGGCTTGGAGTCCCCAGAGTGTGCACTGGGGGTAATGGCCATATCGTTAAAGATGCCTGTACCATTGTTTTTAATGATTCCTGAAGGGTCTTCTATAAACATTCTACAAAGTCTACTGAACTGCAAATATATACAGATTTGGAATCCTGGAGCCAGGAATTTGCACTGTAGGAATGAGGTCAGTCAAACCTCATGGACAAATGTGACAAAAAAATCATTAAATACATAAAATTAAAAATTTGGTAATAATATTTTTTACAACTGCACATGTAGTAAATAAGGTGAAGCGGCATTTCAAACTATAAACTAGACTATCTGCTCATGGCTTTTTTAAAGCGAAAGAACAATTTCATGAAACAACAAAAAAAGGACAGTGCAGAGATGTTATGGAAATTATTTTCTGTTCTAAGAAATAAAAGTAGTTCCTACTTTTCCATCTTTCATAAAATACTGGTGTATTTATAAAAAAAATTCAGGTCCCTTGTCTAGTTACACACAAATCTAGGCACAGTTAGCTTGAGCAGAGTTTGGCTTTTTAACCCCAGGTTTTTAATTATAGCACAGCTCAGTTGTCATTGATCAGTAACTACAACAAGTCATCATTAAATAAAGCAACAATTACTTCAGTGAAATCAGACCCAGCTGTTAGAGGCCCCCTGGGTACTCTTACTACCCACAGCTTAGAAAGGTTTCAAATTTACCAGAACATGCCTGTGGGGAAGGTCAGTCACACACAACTAAACATTTTATTACAGTCAGCATTCAATCAATATGAATAGCATCGACCTTTCTGAATGGAAGACTCATTTCAGGCCAACACATTTCAGACATAGCAAATGTGCTCTGAAGATCCGTTAAGCATCCCTGTTGCTATGCGTCTTAAGTTATTCTCAAAAATGATCTGCTCAGTCAACCTACACATTTATTCCTCTATGTTGACCAAAGGAAAAGTATGCATGCCACATAAGATTTATTGCAGTAGAGTTTTCGTAGTCCACCTTTTTTAAATTTAGTTATAGTTTTGTTTTACCTTTCTACACTACAAAGCACTTTCTCACTTACATGAAACAAAATAAAACAAAAAATTTACTATTTTATAGCACGTAACTTCGTACAGGTGTCTCAGGTTGCTTCACAGGTACATTAGACCCTGTTTTAATATGATAGTTGGATCCATGAAATCCCAAACAGCACTACAATGGGACATGATTGCCAGCAATACAATTTACAATGATATTGTGCTTTCACATCAGGAGGATGTCTCACTGCTGGCTGGACAACTGAGCAGAGTGCCGGTGGGTGGGGAGTAGAAAAATGACCGAAAGCATGGTCAAGAGATAAGTCATGAGACAGGTTTTGATCGTGGGGAGGGAGGGAAGGAACAAGTTGGAGGGACTCCAGGAGAGTTCCAGAGATCAATGGCAGAATGACTGAAAATTCGCCTGCTAACAATGGGGTGGATAAGTTGAGCGACACAAAACAGGTCAGTGTTCACTGAGCAAAGGGAAAGGCTCTTTAGGTAGGATTGTAGAAGTTTGCAGAGGTGGGGCAGGCCATGGAGGGATTTAAAGGTGAGAAAGAGAATCCTGAATTCAATCTCTTGGGGATGTGGAGCCAAGTTAGGATGGGGTGATGGCATTACAAAGACCGGTGAGAAGAAGGCACAGGCTGCAGAATTCTGGATTGTCTGCATCTTGTGCGGAGAAAAGTTCGGGAGTCCCACAAGCACGGAGTTGATGTGGTCAAGTAAGCGTTCCAGTCAGTGCATCTGCGCCCCGAAAGATACTAGATCCATTACCACTTCAAATCACTAGCCATCAGGTTGGAAAGTGGGAGGCAGAAGGTGATGTTTGCCACACTGCCTCTATTTGCAGCACTGCACTGTTTAATGGGCAGAAAGTGATATACGTAGAAACTGTATAAACTAAAAAATCAGTCATTTTGTATTTCAATTGGAAACAAGGTGAACTTACGTTATAATTATGGTAACGAAAAACAGGGTTGTTCCAAAGCAGCTTCTCCTACAATCTGCATTTTTCTTCTGTCGCTGGTGCATCTCCCCTCCACAGTTGTCACAGCAACGACACAGGCAGAAACATAGGCCCAAAAGAGGCATTAGTAGAACAAACACCACACCCAGAATTGTGCATATGATGAAACCGATCTCATAGTAGATGATCTGTTTTGAAGAGAAAACGTTCAGCAGATTTTGGTCATAACACTGCCGGCATTCCCACATTATGTTATCCACTTCATTCAACAAATCGTAAACTATTGTTGTAATAGCCTGAGGTCAGGAGCACTGTACATCAAAGGAAAGAGGTCTACTTCAAAACATACACACACACACAATCATAAATGAAACAGCTCTGTACCATTTGTCAAATAAACTGGAAAGAATGGGATGTTAACACCTGGGCAGTTAGAACTGACTGTCTTATTAGGGACATGGAACAAACAGTTCTGCTTTTTACTGTATTGTGTGCCAATGAGCAATTTATTTTGGTTACAGGGCAGGATTGTTGCAGTGGTTTCCAGAACGTTCTTGCAGAAAGAAAAACAGTGTCTAGACAATGCATAATTGAAGAATCCTTTCTGCTGCACCGTTGCGTGGGAAGAAAGTAAGCTATCCTCCACAACCCCTTAGTACAGGCAGCTTGCAAACATGGGTAAACACTAAGTGAAGATGAAGAATTTTCCAGAAAAAAGAAAATGATGTTGAAGAGAACCAGAAAATAGCTTTCAAGAAATAGAAACAATAATGGTCCACTCTAATTAACTTTCAGTCACACTCCTTCCAAAACTGTTTGCTAAATAAACCCAAAGATTTCTATTCACAAAGCATTTAGAACCGATAAAGCCACATATTCTCGTACCTCTTTTCACCTGACATTTTCTCCACATTCATTAAAAATCATATCCTACTAACATTACAGCAACATACAATAACAAAAGTAATTATTTATACATGAATATAAATTAAAAGATTTTAAATTAATTTTCAATCCAGGGTAGGAAGGTCCTCTAGGGAATCAGCAACTCAAAGTGTGCGTTTACCTGTAGAGTCAGGACAACATTTTGTGGCTGTGGAGTCAAAGTTGATGTGTAATGATGCATGGAATGAAGCATGCAGAACAAAAACAAGCAAGAAATGAGCAAACATGTCAACAGCACACGTGAATTTGTAAAAACACTTTTCCCACCAGTTACAAAACAATTGTAAACATGGATTAAGAACTTTTCAGTTCAATCTCCTCAGTACACATCAGATTTGAACTTTGAAGATCACAAACTCAGTCAAGACTTTGGGGGGAGGAAGAAGGAAGACAGTAAAATTCCACTGGTTGGTAAGGTTATCACTGGTGTTATGCGCTTTTAATGGCACATCCGTGGTATCATGAGTCTGGAATATTTTGAAAAAGGTAAGCACTGATCAGTTTAACATTGAAATCTGTTCAGTCCCCCGAGTCCTCCGCTCCACCCTCGGCGGCCTTGCTTTCAGCCACTGTGCCCTGAGGCTCTGGAACTTCCTCACTCCCTCCATCTCGTTCCCTCCCTTCCCTTTTTCAGGTCTCTGCTGAAGACCTTTCTTTTCAACCGCGCCTTTGGTCACCTTACCCCCCCTCCCCTTGGCTCGACCCTGGGATCCGTTACTGTGAAGCGCTCTGAGATTCCGTCCGGCGTGGAGGGCGCTATATAAATCCAAGTTGTTGTTGTAGTTAAATGTTGCCGGTCTTTACTAACTTACAACCTTCACAAAATAAACTTCAAGGAATATTTTGAAAGACTACAGGGAAGGGTCATAAAATGGAGTTGGAAGGTTTCACTTATTTACAACAACAACAACAAAATTACATTTATAGAGCGCCTTTCACATCGGGAGGACTAATCAAAGCACTGAACAGTCAGGTGTCGCGGCCTGAGCATTGGGGAGGGGTGGTGTAGGGGTGAGGGGAGGCAGAGAGGTGGGAGGGAGACCAAAGGCACGATCAAAGAGGAGGGTCTTGAGACCAGCCTTGAAGGAGGCAAGGGAGGAAGCGAGGCAAAGGGACCGTGGGATGGAGTTCCAGAGTGTGGGGGCAGAGAGGCTGAAAGCCCGGCCACCGATGGTAGAGCGGGTCGGGCGGGAGACATGGAGCAGGCCGGAGCCCGCTGAACGGAGGGAGCGGTCAGGTTGATAGGGAGTCAGCTGGTCAGAAAGGTAGGAGGGGGCAAGGCCATTGATGGCCTTAAAGGTGATACCTTGAACATACTTCAAACTATTGAGTTTTCCTATCCGTGTTAAAAAAAAAGCAAAGTAATTGGGAATAGCTTCCGTCTCAATTCCATTCCTACTCACTTTCAGAACGCAGAGGTATGATGATAGCAAATGTATGCAAGATACCAAATTCAACAATTCCTGTCTTCATACTAGACCAAAAAGGTTGTTTTTTAAAAGGATTAATGTTGCAATAATTATATGAGTACAATATTTCAAATTTCTAATATGGTCAGGCATTGTAGCTCACCGGACATGTCAACAACACTTACCCTTTGATATTGTTGTAGTACAGCTCCAAAGTTCTGCTTTATTAGCTCAGTCGCAATATCTAGAATGGAAAAAGGAAAGGTTCACATTTACGAAAATAGAGGATTCACTGTAGTTTATATCAAAGCTCAGTCATACCAGTTTCTGATTGCAATACTTAAGCAGCTACTCATCGCACCAGGTTGTGTGAGACAAGTGCACATACTGTACTTGGATTTCCCTCAGGTTTTTCCTGATTGAAAATAATTGCTTGGACAGCAAATAAAATATCAGGACCTTTTTTCTAAAAAAGCGATGTACATTCCCAAGCATTTAGAACAAAAACAAAATTGTGTAACTCATATGATTGCAAAGGAGATCACAACCAGAGCCATGAGGAAAAAGTGAAAGAGGAAAAGGGGAAAATAAAGACACCAATATTGCTAGAAAAATACTTTCCAAGAGACACCTAAATTTAAACAAGCTAATGTGGTGAAATATAAGGTTCAATCTAACAACAGAAGAGAATACAGTGGAAACATACAGAAAGGTCAACCTATAAATGTGGGTAATTATTATTAAAGCACTAACGTGGTCAACATTTCTCAGTCTGTTTGCTAACCTTATTAGTAAGTTTCCACCTCATAATAAAAAATAGCAAAATGAAAGACAGGATGAACACAATAATTTTCTCCACGTCTCAGAGACCCAGAAGTGGTTTAATTATGCTGCTACTTGGAAAAAAAGGGAAAATCGGAAGCCTGTTAAGCCTTTACCAGCTCCAACAAGTCTCTTATTGGTTACTCCTAAATGATTCAGTGACTGAATTCTGATCAATATTCAATCTCACGTCACATCTGGCAAGGGCATCAACATCCAATGGTTTGGTTACAGATCTCAAACAAGCAAAGATCTAAGCACATCATCTCTGCCAGTTTAACCAGACAAATCATTGTGGAAATTCCATTGAATCTCTTATATCTAATCAAACAATAAAAGCATAATCAAAACTGGGGAAAAGAAATCTCAATGCAATAACCTAATTTTACGTCAGCAATCAGCATCTCATAAAAACTCACTTGCATTTTGAGGGTCCTTTTTTCCTCCTTTGAATTATTCTCTTATAAACATGTTGGTTATTATGTTGATCAGGTTATGTTTCAATTTATGGAGGAGGGAAACAATCCAATACCATTCAATATGATGTGAGAATAATACAAAGGTTCAAATCAACAACTTTTCTTTCAAATTAGTAAATAACATCTCCAGGTAGTATAAATAACAATAATAATAATTACATTTGATATAACACCTTACCTTACCGTGGCAACAAAACATCTCAAAGCACTTCACCGGATTTACTGTAGTGACTGTAACCTAGGCAAATTATCTTATGCAGTACTAGAATGCAGTATTTTACCATCCAGCCATCAAACACAAGTCACAACCATTGCTCTTATGCCATCACTGATGGATACACTTATCCGTACAGAACTGTTCTAAGGTGTTTATTTATCGAACTGTTTCAGTTATAAGGCTGCAGTGTGAACAAAATTCACAATTTAAAGACACATGCATGCCACTATCACTTTCTGCTTTGTGTAACCGCTCAGCCAGCTGTGCAAAGGGTTCAGGTAGAGGAGTGGAGAGGTAGGGAGGTGCTGGGGCATGAAGTGATTGGTAGGAGAGTTTGAGGATCTTGAAATAGATCCGTTCTGGGACAGGAAGCCAATGGAGCATGACTAGGACATGGGGTGATGGGTGCCGATTTGGTACAGGAGAGATTATGGGCGGAGGAATTCTGAATCAGTTGGACTTTGTGAATTGTGGAAGTTGAGTCAGGAGGAGACGAAAGGGTAGATAAGAGTTTCAGTCGCGTTGGGTTTGAAGTATGGTCAGAGTGGAGGAAAATGGCCAGGGATCAGATTTTGGGTAGGAAAGACTAAGACAACAAGAACAAAATTATATTTGTAAAGCACCTTTCACGTCGGGAGGACAAGAGTGAAGCATGACTGTAAAGTAATAACTGGTACTACAGCTGCATATAAAATGGAGTGCATAACAGTATGGTGAAGGAGGATCATCTTAGTAAAACGTTTTCATTGAAAATATTAAGATACAAAATTGTGCTCATTGTCTGTAAATGAGTCAACCTCGCTCCTTGGATCAAGTGCAGCACAGTGGGAATGTTTAATTGCCATTTTTTAAACAGTTGATCAGAATAGGAACGCTTGAACATTTTGGAATATAATTCCAATGGACCAGGTGGGAGCTTCATTCAATAGTTATTTAAGAGAGAAGTGGAGCAAAGGAGGAGGAGGTAAAGCTCATTTAACTGCAGGCAAGATATTTTATTTCCATAACCCATGGCCTTCCTCTTTTCCTTCTCTATTACACAATCCCCCACCACACACAGCGTTTCAGATCTCTGTTCTCAGCTGGACGAGGCTCAAGACAACATCAACTAATGAGCCTCACAGGGAAAACTACTGACCCACATAGCCTTTCATCCCGAATACTAGCTTGGTAATGTTTAAACTAGAAAACATCAGTATCTGCCAACTACACATCAAGTATTCAAGATTCCTAACTTGAACACGCCTGATCTGCATTCAATCCCAATTTATATTCTTGCCATGCAGCTAGTTGCATACTGATGGGGAGTTTAATTGTACAGTAGAATGAAAGTCTCTCTGCTAAGCCTTCAGACTCATAGGCCAAGAGATCAGAGACATTCCAATAACTCAAATATACATACATTTTTTGTATTCAAAGTATTTCACCTTTTGAGTATGCAATACATACAACATGGGATAGTTTCAAAATACGCCTTGAACTTTGTTTCCTCTCTGCATCTCCACCCCCTCCCTCAAAGCAGGCATCCATCCCTGATTAAGACAGATACTTCTGAGCAAGGTTTGTCTTGGGCTTTTCCTGAACCAGCACACAAGAAATGCACAGAGACACTTTCTCTGTTCTCTGTACACTTTTTTAAATAAAAACATTTATGACCATCTGATTTGAGGCTATAAAAGGAAATTTCAGAACAGACACCACAAAATATTTTGTTACCCAGAGAGTAATTAAAAATGTATGAATTACTAGGAAGGAAGACTAATTTTAAAAAAGTTTGATTCTGTTATTGGAGGATGGTAGGATGGGGATTCTGGAAGGATAAAATCTAAATGGGCCAAAAGAGCCTTCTTCACCTCAACCTCTCTTGTGACAACCAGCATTATCAACTCAAAGGGCTACTATTTTGTCAACCAAATTGCTCGTTACACGAAGGCTTATTGAATCCTGCAAACACCATAAAACTAAATAACCCTAAGAGAAACATAACAAATTTCCATTTTAAGTTTTTAAATATTCAGCAGTTTTCTTATTCTTCAACTTTTTTTAAAATTAAATGTGAAAATAATTTGACTGCCGCGTTTCACACACAAAATACACAGTCAATCCACTTTAATCCACAGTAGATCCTGTGAAGCATGTTCAGACATCTCAATAACGTGATAAGGCGCTATACCAAATGCAAGGATTATTATTATTATGTGCAAACAATAATTCCTTGGGTCAACATAAAAAAGCGTGAAAAACCAAGAGTATGTGATCAGGTCGTAGAGTGCCTCCTGCAACAATTCAGTGGCAGAAGTGGGTTCAATCTTCCAACTTCCTATTTGGTGACTTCACAATCTCAATATGAAATCTCATATCTCACAACGTGGCAGAGAGCAAGCAAGCAAAAAAATCAGAGGATGGAAAGCATCAGGGGCTGTCAATCTGTACTGCTTCAATAACTTTCCGTCAGCTGGTTAGAGAGTAACATTGGTAAAGACCAGGGAAAAGTCGGTCAGCTTGCCTCGCAGCCATCTGTCTGACTCTTACATTCAGATTATTTTCAGTTATTTGAATTCTTATAATTATTCCCATTTAGTATTCTGTATCCTCTTCCCTGACGCCCCACCCCCAATAATGGTTTTATATTCCCTGACTGTTCCAGGAACCAAGTAATCTGCTTTGAGAGCTGCTGTGAAAATCTTGAACTATCACTTTTCTCTTGTTTTAATCACATTCCCTTTTACACATTTCCTTTGATCCTTCAACAATTTCAACAGCAAAAGATAGCATGTGAAGTATTGAGACCAAGGATCAAACAACACTTTTTGGGGATGTTAACAAGCCTCAATTTTACAAATATCCTGAATGTAATCATTTTATCAGTTTCTATAGATGTCACTTAACACACAGAATTGCATTCATTCCCATACAAAAGGTCTGGTCACATTAAGAGAAAAGATAACGCATTAAAAGTGGAGACTTGCAGCAAATATAATTTTACCTCTGAAAACAGACAAGAGTCCTGTACTGTGGATAATAAATAATAATCCTTGCAATTTGATAAGAGTCTTAGCACGTCTTTGAGACATCTCAAAGCACTTCATAGAATATGCTGCAAAGTGAATTGACTGTATATTTTGTGGGCAAAACGTGGCAGCCAATTGCGCACAGCAGATCTACAGGCTGAGGTACCCAGATTAGTTGGAAACATATCCAGGCTCCCGCACCCCATCTTAGTTTTTGAAACAATGCTTAATTTCCAAGTCAGCGAGTGCACATTACATTGATCTGTATTTAATTTTTGGCTAAACCCTGAAAAGAATTCAAAACATTGCACCAATAGCTACCAATTACAGCTTACTAATTTAGGTAGCCAGCAGTTTGTTTTTATATACATACATATATAAAAAACACATTCCATCATCACTGAAATTAGCTGCAATCATTTAGGACTTGTTTTTATTAAAACGATAGAACAATAAGCAGCTGAAAAAAAATCCCAAATAAAAATGAAAACAAGACCAATTACATCTCCTGACAAGAAAAACATCAACATGTAAAAGTAATGTCATGTACTCTGGGCACAAGGGAATGGTACAAGTTAAATAGAAGGACCCAGGGGTGATTGCACGATCAAATATTTTTTAATCAGAGCAATTTTTTAAAAAAAATCTAGTACTTAGCGTGCACCACCAAAACACTGCACTGCAGAGAAACAATGACAGATAATTGTTTTGTGGC